GAGAGAGAGAGAGAGAGAGAGAGAGAGAGAGAGAGAGAGATCTTGGTTGCTGCGTCCTGACCACTACCTGTCTTCACCCGAATAGAACGCCCGGTCGTTATAGCTGCATTTGGGGCAACTTTCAGTCCCGATGCAGTAATGATGACCGGGCGCTCCATCTTGGTTGCTGCGTCCTGACCACTACCTGTCTTCATTCGAATACAACTCCCGGTCGTTATAGCTGCATTTGGGGCAACGTTCAGTCCAGATGCAGCGATAGTGACCGGGCGTTCGATTCGGTTGAAGGTGGTGGTCGAAGATCACTCTGTAGCAGACACTGAAGATGGATTTACGTGGTTGTTACAGTGAGTGGGCGCTACTTATACCCACTGAAAGCGATGCAGGTGGGTGCGAATATGACTGGGCGGGTTGCAAACTTCATAACTCCGGCGCAAAGTAAAACTTGGATTCGTCGTCGACTGGCGCCATGGCAAATTCCAAATATTAAAAAAAAAATAAAAAAATTCCAGATAATCTTACCCGCCAGGGCCCGTTTCGGACGTAGGGGGCCGAAATCGCGGCAGTGGACGAGGAATAAGGGGATGAGGAGAGGGAGAGGAGGAGGAGGAGGAGGAGGAAAAGACAAGGAGGAAAACTGAATGGTACAATCGTGAATGGTGACAAGCTATAGCCAAGATCCTTCTCTCTGTTTTCTGTTTTTTGGCCAAGGTGCTTGGAACGAGGCATTCCAATGAGAGATTGATTACGCATCCGTGTCCGTGGATTCGCTCAGAACGGGCACGTCCTACAGAAGCTGCTTCCAAACAGAAGTATCCTATATTATCGAGCATGTAACTCGCAGAAGAAGAGAGGAAGAAAAGAGAACCGAGAGAGAGAGAGAGAGGAAGGAGAAAAGGAGACGGAGGGTGAAAAGCAGGAAGGCGGACGAAGAGGAAGAAAAGGAACGGAGGATGGTCGACCTGGTCACACTGAGCAGGAGAGAAAGAGAGAATGATGATGACCAATCACAGTCAACGGGGGAGGAGCAAAAGGGAGTGGAAGCGGAATGAAGCACAGATGGTGCTGGAGTAATTACAGCGGACATGTGAGTGAATGAGCGAGAATATGAGACCGATTATGAATGACAGAGTGTGACACACACACGCACACACACACACACACACACACAGAGAGCGAGCGAGCGAGAGCGAGAGAGAGAGAGAGAGAGAGAGAGAGAGAGAGAGAGAGAGAGAGAGAGAGAGAGAGAGAGAGAGAGAGAGAGA